TGCCCCTTACTAAAAGGTCCTCACCCATACTCATGTTATGAAAGAATTCTCTTTTTCTCCTAGTAATTGCGTGGATCTGTTTCTCCCATTTAGACTTTTTTTTTAAAGATTTTTTTAAATTTTTTAATTTATTCATGAGAATACAGAGAGGAGAGAGAAAGAGAGAGGCAGAGACACAGGCAGAGGGAGAAAAGGCCCCATGCAGGTCGCCTAACATGAGACTCGATCCTGGGTGTCCAGGATCAGGCCCTGGGCTGAAGGTGGCGCTAAACCACTGAGCCACCGGGGCTGCCCCCATTTAGATTTCTAACATACTTGGAATTTGTTTTGGTTTATGTTGTCAAGTATGGACTCAATTTTATCTTTATCAAAATGGTTATCTTGTCCCAATGATATTAAAGAATTCATCTTTTCCCCAGTGATTTTTTATGCCATAGTTCATATACACTGTCCAAATATACTTCAGTCAATTTCTAGAACTTATGCTTTATTCCCCTTGTCTATTCATACTCTAGCTCTATAATGTTACTATTATTTAGAATCTAGCCTATGTTGTTAGCAAAACCTCCTTCACTGTCTGTCCTTTTCAAGATTTCCAGCTTTTTAATTGTTAAATTTTTTGCAAATTCAGCTTTTATCTCCAACATGAAACCTTGTTTGCTTGTTTGGGGAATTATGTTAAAGTTCTATATCAACTTGGAAAGAAGTGGTATCTTTACAACAGCATTTGACAAAGTCTATTTAAGTTTTCTTCTTCTACATTTTTACATTCTGGTTTTAAGTGTCTTCTCTTTTCAAAAAATATCTTGAGATTTCCCTTATTGTCATAACATATGTTTCAAATAAAATGAAGGCTATTAATTTTATGTATTTAAAATCCTGATGCAAAAAAATAAAATAAAATAAAATAAAATAAAATAAAATAAAATAAAATAAAATAAAATAAAATAAAATAAAATCCTGATGCATCACTCAGGATTTTTTTAATTGACTGTTGAAAATTTTAGATATATTTTATTTCTTCTGCAAATAGTTTCACTTCTTTCTAAATTTATACAACTCATTATTTTCTCACTGATATCACTGGCTAATGACAAAAGTAAAAAGTTAACATACTTGCTTTGATTCTGAACTTAAGAAAATGTTTCTATTGTTTTACATATTAAGGATGCTAATTGTCTTAGGCCTGGGATATATCAATACTTATTGCAGTGATCTTTTTTTTAAGTTAGAAATGGGTGTTGAGGGGCGCTTGGGTGGTTCTGTTGGTTCTCAGACTCTTGATCTCAGCTTAGGTCTTGATCTCAGGGTCATGAGTTCAAGCCCCACCAAAAAAAAAAAAAAAAAAAGGAGGAAATGGGTGTTGGACTTTGTAAAAGATCTTTTCAAGTGCTTCGAGGAGAAATTCTATGACATTTTTCCTTAGATATATGTATATGATTAGTTATGATGATTCAATTCCAAATATTGAGGTGTCCTGGCATTTCTGGATGAATTCAACATGGTGAGATTTTATTTTAATATCCTGTTGGGTTTTGCCAATATTTAAATTTTTTAAATTAATATTCATTACTGAGATTTGTCTACAGTTATTTTTGTATATTTTCTTTCAGCTTTTGGCCCAAATATTTTATTTTATTTATTTTATTTTTTTATTTATGATAGTCACACAGAGAGAGAGAGAGGCAGAGACACAGGCAGAGGGAGAAGCAGGCTCCATGCACCGGGAGCCCGACGTGGGATTCGATTCCGGGTCTCCAGGATCGCGCCCTGGGCCCAAGGCAGGCGCCAAACCGCTGCGCCACCCAGGGATCCCCTGGCCCAAATATTTTATGTGGAAAAGCTAACTACAGCTTTTCCATCTTCTTGGTAGAATTCTTCTGTGAAACTTTCTATGACTGATGCTGTTTGGTAAGAGGTTACATTTCTTCTAACAAAATCTGTTTATAAATTTATGCTTTTCACCATAACTTGTCATTTTAGATAAATGGATTTTCCTAGGAATCTACTAATTTATCAAAGCTTTATTTTTACTCTCATTTTATTATTTTACACAAAATTGTAAAAATAGGGATGCCTGGGTTAAGAGTCAGTTAAGCCTTCAACTCTTGATTTTGGCTCAGGTAATGTTTCTGGGGTGGTGGGATCAAGTTCCAGTTCAGTTCAGGGCAGAGTCTGCCTGGGACTCTCTCTCCCTCAAATAAATCAGTCTTTTTTAAAAAACAGAATTGTGAAAGTAGTTTACCATTAAAATTTCCTCTTTCACAGCTATTTCTCCTGGTCACTTCTTATATTTTTCTTCATTTTTTCATTTTTTTCTTAATTTATGGTGAGTGGTTGGACTATTTTGGTTTTTATTACACTTCATTTTTTTTACTTATTATTCACTTATATACTTTTCATTTCTCTTTTAAGCCTTATTAATTTTGCAATTTACTTTTATAATTTATTCTCTTCTGTTTTGTTCTGGTTTATTTTGTTGGTTTTTTTTCCTCCTAAACTGAAATCTTAGTTCTCTTTCTTATTGTCTTAAGAATTTAAGGATGGGCAGCCCCGGTGGCCCAGCGGTTTATTGCCACCTTCAGCCTGGGGTGTGATCCTGGAGACCCCCGGATCAAGTTCCACATCGGGCTCCCTGCATGGAGCCTGCTTCTCCCTCTGCCTGTGTCTCTGCCTCTCTTTCTCTGTGTGTCTGTCATGAATAAATATAAAATCTTAAAAAAAAAAAAAAAAGAGTTTTGGGGATCCCTGGGTGGCTCAGTGGTTTAGCTCCTGCCTTTGGCCCAGGGCGTGATCTTGGAGTCCCGGGATCAAGTCCCATATCGAGCTCCCTGCATGGAGCCTGCTTCTCCCTCTGCCTGTGTCTCTGCCTCTCTCTCTGTGTCTCTCATGAATAAATAAAATCTTAAAAAAAAAAAAAAAAGAAGAAGAAGAAGAATTTAAGGCTGTAAAAAAAAATTAAGGCTATAAAATTTTATTTAATTGCTTTAAGTGTGTATTGTTTTTGACATTTTGTGCTTTATCAATTTTCTTTTAAAATTTGCAATATCATTTTGCATTTTTTTCTTTGGATGAGTTTATTTTTGGAAGCTTCTTAAATTCCAGGTATATGTCATTTGAAAAATTAATTTCTAGTTTGGGTAAAAGTGTACTCTTATTCTTTGGAAATTACTTTTTTCTTTGAAATGTGTATTATTAGGGACACCTAATTATTAGGGTGGCCCAGTGGTTGAGCGTCTGCCTTTGGCTCAGGTCGTGATCCCAGGGTCCTGGGATGGAGTCCTGCATTGGGCTCCCCACAGGGAGCCTGCTTCCTCCTCTGCCTGTGTCTTTCATGAATAAGTTAAAAAAAAAAAAAAGTGTATTATTAGTTTTATGAATCTTTCACATGCACTTAAGAAGATGGTATTATCTTCCTATCACAGTATTAAAATCAAGATTTGTGTATAAAATCTACTTTATGTTAGCTGTTTTAGATCCTTATTTATTTTTTTGGTCCTGTGAACTGATAGCTAATGTTTCTCCCTACATACAGTTAGGGTGTCTTTCTAGTTAAGGTTTACATTTTTCTGCAGTGTTCACAGTTGTTTTTTTTTTTTAAGATTTATTTACTTATTTATTCATGAGAGATAGAGAGAGGCAAAGACACAGGCAGAGGGAGAAGCAGGTTTCCCAAGGGGAGCCCAGTGAGGGACCCCATTCCCTGACTCCAGGATCACGCCCTAAGTTGAAGGCAGACTCTCAACCACTGAGCCATTCAGGCTACACTGTTCATAGTTTTCCTAAAATAGGTCTTATTTCAGGTTGTTTATTTCTATTCTTATTACTATCTATTGTAAAGCGGGAAAGGGGGTCTTTACTTCCATTACATCCTTAAACTATTGTTTTAATAAAGTCATCAGTAAAATTTTATCCCCAACTATCCTACTGGATTCTATTATTTATAATCAGGTGAAGAATAATGACGGTGAAAATAAATGGAAAACAAATCTTCACAGAACGTGTTAAGTGGTCTGTGAACTGTAAACTGGTCGAGCCACATGTCCGATTGTGTTCAGCCTCTATTCTGAAGCAGTTTTCTCTTCGGAAAATGAGCACACTATCTGACCTAGGCACTCGCCATCTTCCTCAACTCTGAGCTCTTTGTACACACTGCCTGGTGAACCTAACTGCTTTACTTTAGCTCAAAGCTGGCAAATTTAGACCAAATCCCTGGAATCCCCAAATATCCATCAAAGAAGAGAGTGAACATCTTCCCTCACAGCTTTAGCCAAAATAGGGGCCTAATAGGGGCAAAATATTCTTTCTTTAAAAACAAATTTGGATTTTGCACACATGCTGAAATAAACGTGTTTTTATCTACTTTAAATGCTTGCTGCAGCTCCACATGTGAAATATACTGCTTTTTTGACCGGTCAAAGAGGAACGTCAGCGGTTTATCGCTCTCGTATACTCACGAGCCTCCTGTCCCATCACCTGACCCACCTGCCGGAGTCACAGCACCTCTCTCCACCCCCCGTATCCTCGTGGATTCCTTTTTAAGATTTTATTTATTTATTCATGAGAGACACACAGAGAGAGGGGCAGAGACACAAGCAAAGGGAGAAGCAGGCTCCATGCAGGGATTCCCGACGTGGGACTTGATCCCGGGTCTCCAGGATCATGCCCTGGGCCGAAGGCGGCGCTAAACCGCTGAGCCACCCGGGCTGCCCTCCTCGTGGATTCCTACTCAGCATCCCAAACAGTCTCACCTGCAGACACAGCCCAATCCTGGCCCAAACACATATTCCTAATGGCCCAAGTTCCGAACACCGCTAGACCCCTCCCCGGCTCGCGGAAGCAGCCGCTCCACCCACCAACTCCCACATCCTCGACCAGCCCGGCACTAACCGCCACCGAGAAGGCCCGGAGCTGGGGCAAACTCAGAATTCCTCAGGGGCGACCAGGCAGACGCGAAGCGGCAGAGGGGCCACCTGCCTTGTGGGGCCGGCAGCTCTTACCTACGCGACTCTTCCCGAGTCCCAGCTCCGGAGCTGAGCGCTTCCCTCGTCCTCCCGCCGCTTTCACGGCGCTGCGCGACGAGGCAAAGGAATGTGTGCCTGAACCCGGCGTCTCGCTCGTCGGAACCACAGCCTTTACGGCTCTGCGCGACACTTCCCGGGAATCCCCGCAGCGCGTGCCCAGCTCCTCCCTCGCCCGTCCCCGCGCTTCTACAGTTCTGGGCAACAGGTTCCCCGATGTTTGCGGAGTGAACCGCCGCGCGACGCTTGGCGCCCCGGCAGTGGGCTCCCCGGGAAGACGCTTCTCCCGGGACCATCCGGGATTGCCAAGTTGGCTGCCGCCCGTGAGAGTGGGCTTGGTACAGGCCTGCAGGTACGGGCCTCGCTGTCCTGAGCCACTGAGCGGGCGACGCACCACGTTTCTCTCAGGCTCCGCGTGGCAACTTGTTACTCCGGGGTTTGGGCGCTTCTTTAGGGGTTGGTGGGAGAATTCGGCCTCTGTGGACACAGGTTCTGGGGCACAAGCGCATCAGATCGGCAGGGCAGTGTGGGTCGTTCACGACTGCGCCCGGAGGACACGGAAAGCGGGGGCTTCCCAAATCCTGGGCAGGGCGACCTGGTGAGAGCTTTTGGAGGGCGAGGGGCGGTGGTGGAGGCTAACGGAGGTGTGTGCGGCCGCCGTCGACCCCGAGGGCGTCGGCGACCCTCTGCCGCACCTGGTGGGGGGGGGGCGCCTTTGCCTCCAGCGCCCCTGCCAGACTCCTTCCCAGACCAGCCCCTGTGATGCGGGGAGTTGGCAGGAAGGCCCTGCGTGTGAGTAAGTGGTTGGCCGTTGGTAGGGGCTGGAGCTGGGTAGTTTCAAATTTGGTCAATCTAGAGTCCCAAGAAAATCCTGCCGTCTTGTGAATCTTCCACTTTCCCAGTTGGACCCTTCTCCGAGGCGCCTGGAGGAGAAAGGAATGGACGTTGAAGGTCTAAAAACCACTTGTGAGTGAGGTAGTTTTAGAATATAGGTGAAGTTTGGTGGGATGAGGTAACTGAGGACCAAGAAAAAATTCTTGCGACGTCTTTGGTGCAAAAAAAAAGGTGGTTTTGTTAAAGCACTGGGAGAGGACCCTTGAGCAGAAAGCTGCTCCGAGGTTGTGAGGGGCGGCTGGTTATATACTTGGGAGTTGGGGGAGTTAAGGAAAAGGGAAGTTTCAAAGGATTTTCATGTTTTTTAAAGATTTTATTTATTTGAGATAGAGCGCCCAATAGCAGGGGGAGGGGTGGGAAACTAGAAAAGTGAAAATGAAGAACAGACCAAGAAAAATGAGAAAGAAAATTTGTTAAAATGTTAATTCTGTGTAGTAGGTATATAGTTGTCTGCCACATAACCCTCAAAAACCTTTTAAAATCTGGGGACCTGGGTATCTCAGTTAAGCTTCTGACTCTTGATATCGGCTCAGGTCATGATTTCAGGATTATGTTATCAAGCCCTGCAGCAGGTTCACTGGGCGTGTAACCTGCTTAAGACTCTCATCCCTCTCTCTCTCCCTCCGTCCCTCCGCACCCCTCAAGTCTTTTAAAATCTACATAGAAAACAAATTATAAGAAGGATATTAATTTGTTTAATCTTATATGTGGAGAATACTTATAAGACAGACATAAAAATAAGAAACCACAAAGAAAAAATATATATGATTAAATGGAATATACTTACACATTTACACATGCATTACATACCCAAATATATACACCAAATGATACCAAAGTCTAAAAACTTCCAAAAAATGATATTCAAAGTAACCCAAAAGCTTATACAAAATAACAGTGAAAAACCTAAATGAAAGCTGTGCAAATGTTAAAGATCAAAACTACTTTGATTGATATTGATCTAGTATTTGTTCTTACTGTACAAACCTTGAGCCCAGGTATTCTGATCAGGATTGTTGATATTTCCAGCCAGGTAATTCTTTGCGGTGAGGTGGGGGGCTGTCCTGTACATGGTAGGTTTAACAACAATCTGCCCTATAAACCTCCATATTTTTAACAATCAAAAATTGTTACGAATGGGAGGGGAAAGAGTGGCCTGTATGAGAGGCACTGCTCCAGCATTTTTAACAGAATAATGTGTAATATAATGAGCTGATATCTGTCTCCTCCAGGTGTTACCTGTAAAATTAACTACATCTAAAGAGAAAAGATCTGTAACTATATTATTCCTTTATTAATTGATGTCTTCAGATACTTCTACCTTGAATCAATTTGTGACATAAAATTATGCCTTTTCTCTAGATTTTCAAGTTTCTTGTAATAAAATTAGTATTACAAACATCTTCATCACATCTATCATTATAATTCATTTCTCTTTCATAGTGTTGAATTATGACCAGTTTTTTTTTTCTGATGTGGCATGACAAAGTCTACTCCAACAAATTCAAATAAACTAGATTTTGTTTTCATTAATCTTTTATTAGACTCTTCCATCTTCATTTCAGGGTTTTTTAGAACTTTTTCCCATTTCTTGAGTTGAATTCATAACTATTCAACAAATATGCGGTACACAACATGTTTAAGGTACAGTGTGAAAACGCTCAGTAACTGCCCCTGACTTTTTAATACTAATGCATGTATTAACTTCTGAAAACAGCTTTGACCACATCCTATATCTTCTACCAGTTCATAGTCATTCCCCTTAAAAGTCTATTTTCTGTTGTATTTTTTTAAATAATCAAGCATACAGATGTTACTGTATGCTTAAAAGGCCCTAGAATCTTTTAACATCCATAATTACTGTAGAAAATAAAAACTATACAACTTCTGCTTTTAAGGATTTGTTACAGTGAAGTTACTTAATAAAACGTGTCTAGGAGCTATGCTCTTAATGATTCTACAATCACTATATCATGGGGTTACTATTTTCCCAGTATGAACTTGCAGACATGGCAAAAAAGATCCAAATAATGGCCTGTTCATATTTATTATTCTGGAGATAATTTTCTTACATGCAGTAGGAGATAAAAAGCTTTCCTATGTTAAACAGGAAGGATTCTTCATTAAAAAAAGATTTATTGGGATCCCTGGGTGGCGCAGCGGTTTGGCGCCTGCCTTTGGCCCAGGGTGCGATCCTGGAGACCCGGGATCGAATCCCACGTTGGGCTCCCGGTGCATGGAGCCTGCTTCTCCCTCTGCCTGTGTCTCTGCCTCTCTGTCTCTCTTTGTGTGACTATCATAAATAAATAAATAAAATCTTTAAAAAAAAAAAGATTTATTTACATATTGTAGGGTAGGGGAGAGGCAATGGGGAAGAAACAGAGGAGAGAGACTTAGGCAAACTCCTTGCTGAGGGCAGGTTCCCAACAGCTCCATCTGATGACTCTAAGATCATGACCTGAGCCAAAAACAATAGTCAGACACTTAATTGAGAGAGCCACCTAAATAAATAGAGAGGGTGCACCACCCAGGCGCCTCTGCATTCATTTTCACTGTCTCGTAATACTACTAATGGTAGTGATACTGTCAACACTTATGGGAATATTTGGCAGACAATATATGGGTTGAAATATTTAATTCCTTCCACTTTAAAACTAAGTAAACAGGGAAGTTAACTAACTCAATGCCCCAGTAGAAAGAAAATGACAGAACTACAATACATAATGTGGGTTTTAAGAAGTTTTGTTGGAATTTTTTTTATTTCAAGTTTTTATTTAAATTCTAGTTAACAGGGATCCCTGGGTGGCGCAGCGGTTTGGCGCCTGCCTTTGGCCCGGGGCGCGATCCTGGAGACCCGGGGTTGAATCCCACGTCAGGCTCCCTGCATGGAAGCCTGCTTCTCCCTCTGCCTGTGTCTCTGCCTCTCTGTCTCTCTCTGTGTGACTATCATGAATAAATAAATAAAATCTTTAAAAAAAAAATAAAAAAAATAAATTCTAGTTAACATATTGTGTAATACTAGTTTCAAGAGAATTTAGTGACTCGTCACTTATATATAACACCCAGTGCTCCTCAAAACAAGTGCCTTCCTTAATACCCATCCTCTATCTAGCCCATCCCCTGCCCACCTCCCCTCCAGCAACCCTCAGCTTGTTCTCTATAGTTAAAAGTTTATATTATAGGGGGACGCCTGGTGGCTCAGTGGTCTGCCTTTGGCTCAGGGCGTGATCCTGGGGTCCTGGGATCGAGTCCACATCGGGCTCCCTATGGGAAGCCTGCTTCTTCCTCGGCCTATGTCTCTGCCTCTCTCTGTATGTCTCTCATGAATATATAAATAAAATCTTTTTTTTAAAAAAAAGTTTATATTATGGTTTGCCTCTCTTTTTAAAAAAGTTTTCTACTAAAAGCTCAAGTTTACAGTAAAGTCTTAAATGTGATGGATTTTCTACATTCAAATTACATTAACAGTAACATTCAAATACTACTGACCCAAAATAAATTTTCTCATGCTAAGATATAAATTATGAAGCAAATTTTTCTGTATTCCTAACATAGGTTTCTCATGATTATAAATTTTGTGATATTGAAAAGCTGTGAAGACTTTGCCACATAGCTTATAAAAAAATTTCTGGCCAGCAGGTGAACCATAACTAACAGCCTTCCCGTTCTTCCCTCTCTGTTCTAGTTAGCTTACAAACACTGATGTATAATTTTGAGCCATGATTAAAGACCTTTGCACATTGCTTACATTCATAAGAGGGTTTTTTCCTTCCAATATAAATTCTGTAATATTTAAGTTTTGAACTAAGACTAATGGCTTTTCCACAATTCTTACATTCACAGTATTTCTCACAGTATGCATTTTCTGATATTGACTCAAGTATGACCTCTGAATAATTTTCTAAATTATTTTTATTTGTAAGATTACTCTAAATATGAATTGTCTGTTATAAAGGGAGACCTTTGCACTTTGCTTACAGTATTAGTTGTTTTTCTCCAATATAAAGTCTCTGACACTGAGCAAGTTTGGAGTTCCAGAGGAAGGCCCTCCCACATTCTTCACATACTTAGCATTTCTTACCACTTGAATTCTCTGATGTCCAATAAGATGTGATCTCACCACATTCATTACATTCATAAGGTTTTTTACCACTGTGAATTCTCCAACATTGAAGAAGGTGTGAACCAAGACCAAAGGCCTTCCCACAGTCCTTACCCTCATAGGGCTTCTCACCAGTATGAGTTCTCTGATGATGAGTATGTTCTGAGCCACAAGGAAAAGCCTTCTCACAATCCTTACATTCATATGGCTTCTCATCAGTATGAATTCTTAGATGTTGAATAGGGTGTAATAAATGAATAAAGGCCTTCCATATTACCTACATTTATAGAATTTCTCACCATTATGAATTTTCTGATGTCGATTAAGTTGTGAGGAATGACCAAAGGCCTTCCCACA